TCCCTTCCTTCTTCTCATTGGCTTCAGCCGGGATCTCTTCTTTCTTCTCATTACCTTCAGCCGGGATCTCTTCCTTCTTCTCATTGGCTTCAGCCGCGATCTCTTCCTTCTTCTCATTGGCTTCAGCCGCGATCTCTTCCTTCTTCTCATTGGCTTCAGCCGCGATCTCTTCTTTCTTCTCATCACCTTCAGCCGCGATCTCTTCTTTCTTCTCACTTTCGGCTTCAGCCGTGATCTCTTCTTTGTTCTCACCGTTGGCTTCAGCAGCAGTGGTATCCTCACCAGCGGCGGTGGTTCCACCATCCATACCCTCTTCATAGCGGTAGGTATCCTCCTGGTCGTGAGTCTGGTTGTTGGCTTGCAAAAACCCATCGATTTGGTTCAATGCTTTGCCAATAGCGTCACAGGTAGCTTGGACCATCTCAGCAGTAACCCACCCATTCTCATGCATGAGACGACAAGCAAGCCCCAGATCCTCCTCCGTGGAAGCTTGATGTTGTTGCAGGAACCTCATACACTGCTCATCCGTCATGTCCGCGGGCTCATCATGCAAAGCCTCCATAGGGAGCAGTTGAGGATGCTTGGGTGTTGGGGTGTCATGAAACTGAAACATATCAGAGAAAAGTAGGCGATGACTACCAAAAATAAGTGATGAACGCGGTGTATATTATGTATCTGCATGTGACGATGATAATAGCAGTTTCACTGGAGATTGATGAAGAGAGAAGCTCGAATTAGAAGTGGAGTGGTATTCCAACAATTACCCAATTCGCCACCAGTGCCCAGCCTCAATCGTGGGGGCTGGAACCATCAAAGTGTCCTTGTCCAGAAATCACAATTCAAGTCTGTCCCCCTAAAGAAGGCGACAAACATAATACATAACAAGTGTCCTCAGTTCTTGCATATTACATATTTGTCAACATCTTGCATCCGAGGAGCAGCCGCAGCCGCATGGCCATCATGAACTTCCACGGCATCAAGACGCCCAGCTGTCAGTAGGAGGCCTTCCTGAGCTGCCGGTGTCGGGTAGGCAAGCTGTTAGCAACATCCCGGATACCCCAACAGTCACAGACAGAGTTATCTTTCAAGGTTCGGATTGAGGGCTCAGGCCCAGCTGGTTGTTTGGGCACTGCTCGAGAAGTGTATCATATCCGAGCGGGTCAAGCATCGTGTCAGGTCTTGGTTGGTGGAAGCAAAGGTCAAGGTAATGAGGTTGGTTTCATTTGATTTCATTGTTTTCCATTTTCGTGCACATCCAATCTTTTTCAAGAATAACCAAGTTACGCGGCATCATTCAGATTAGCCTCCGCTGATGCAGCATCAAAACCACCATTCTGGGCAAATGCGGCAATTGTTTTTTAGTTGTTTAAAGAACATGTTTGAAGTTGTCATTGCATATTGTTACTGTTTTTCATTTGCTCTATCGGCCTCCTGCTTGCGCCCTCGCTTGGTTGATGGTTTCTTCTTCGAAGCGGCGGCACCACGAGTGGCTGGCCTCTTACGAACCTGCAAATCTTTGGGGATCCCATTCCCATCCTCGTCGGATTCATCAATCCCACCAGAAGGCCCCTCATCCTCATCATCGTCATGGGAGTTTCCCCCAAGAGGGCAATGTTCAGAGGATTCCTCCATTTCAGCCCTTAGCTTGCGAGCTGGCTTTTTGAATGTGTTTGGTTGCTCAGCTGATGATGAATCCGAAGCATTAACTCGGGCAGGAAGAGCATGGTGAGCCAACTGGAAGCCTCCCACGATACGAAAAAATATATTCTTAAGGGTCATGTTTGGAACATCTTTTGAAAAAAGAACTCTCAGGTCATTGGTTGGAACACTAACCATTAGAAACCCTAAGGAAGAACCAATTCTGCGCCTTCGTTGCCACCTGTGACCGGAGGTCTCACTGCAGTCTTTGCTGCAGATGCAGGCACAACAGCTGATGGAATTCGTGGAGGGGTAAAGGATGATGCCACCCCACTTGCCGATGGGGAGAGCAGCCTCTGCATGTTGAAGGCCTCATCAGCACGGAGCTAAACATTTATGGCTTTAGAAACGTAAGTAGGATCACATATTGCAGAGTCTTTTGAACTGGTATAATTTCAGAAGAGGTACAGGGGGCCGGAAGGTGGTAGTCAATGGAACCTCTTCGACACTGTCGTTGTCGGTTTCCCCATCTGCATGCTTTGATGCCCTCATCCCAGGAAAGGACAGCTGCCACAAGCACCCCGACGGGACAAAAGGTGATCCACAAAATGCTTCAGACAGTCCACTGGATGGAGCATGATGGAGCTGAAATTGGAACTTGCCCCAATATATACAATGAAACACACTTCAGAATTCTTCCAAAGACTCCGCTGTTGGAAAAAACATATGGATGCGATCTTTATTTGTCCACGAGCCGGTTGGTCTGAGCAGGGAAGCTAGGATATGAGCTCAGAATCCTGCGGGTTTTCTTCTTTGTATGTTTTGTCAGTTTTAGGGGTATGGTGTTGAGGACATGGCTGTGTCAAAACGGCCCCCAAACATACACTAGGATCCTGAGCTTTGATTGGTACCCCGTTTCTGTGCAAAATTGCGAAGCCAGATCTCCCCTGATCTCCCCCAAACAGAGCTGAAGCTTGGCAATTACAGAGGTGAAGCTTGGAAAGGAGCACTTGCAAACATGGTGGAGATCATGGTCACATGATGCGAACTGTTTCCTCATTTACGTCCAAAGGGTGGCCAAGCACGGCCACCGGGCGAATCGGAGTGATGACTTTGGTTCCATCACCACTGCTGCAATCGAGCCTGGGCCAAGGTGCATTGTAGAAGGCCGTGGTTCAATGCTAACCAAATACCTGGAGACCTCACGTGTTGCATCCTTTTTTGAATCATTCCATGCTCTCTTGTATATAGTGGTGACAGACAAGCAACCGGCAACGCCAAGCAAGCTTCAATGTCTCATGGCTGGACTTCACTTTCGTGATACTCATCCAGGATCCAAAATTCTTGGGGCTGATCTGAACACCAGCCTTATTTTTGCCCCCCTTGGTTTTCTTCTTTTTCTCTGGTAGCGCTTCCTGTGGGGCATCTAGCACGAACACCAGGGGCTTAGCGCCGACCCAGTCAGCATCTTGCAGCTTGTGGTGGGACAATTCCACCTTCACCTTAGATGGCCCGGAATCGGATTTGGGGGTAATTTGTAGTTAGTGTTTTTCTCCAGTGGGTTAGGGTGATCCTGAGAAAGAGATTTGGATTAGAAGAGTCACTTCCCCTGCATCTTGGAGATCGCACACCAGAGATTGAATGGTAACTGGTGTTTCAAGGTTGTCGAGCTTTGCGATGTGACCCGGCAGGTTTTTCTTCTCAAGAATGACAAGGTCCTCGTTCTTGATGCTGAAGCTCATCCATCGCCCCTCGGGATCAGATAGGCATTCTTGCGCCTCCTGGGATGGATGGAACGGGACTGGACATGTTACGCATGTTAGGGGAGTACAACCCAGAGAAACACTTGACTCTTGACCCAGTACTTGCCACCCCCTTTCATGAACCTCCCAGCCCAATTGAATATAGGCCAGGCACTGCACCATCTCTCCACTCCCCTGATCCATAGCTGAACCTTGGCAGAAAGGGGGCCGAGGTCAATATATCAAACCTGATCCAAGAGCGGACTACATTGTAAACATGCAAGACTTGGCAGGTGCGGCTGAGATACAACTCACGGCCTTCAAAGAATTGA